CGGTGCCACCACTTTTCTGTTTGTGGGGCACTTTATGTGGCGAAGCCTTTCCAGACTTTTCCGACGAAGGCGACATGGCGCCTAAGAAGCTGATAGAACTTTCGCCGCCTGGAGCGCCCCGGCACTTTGTGCAGGGTACCTATGTGCCAGACTTTTCGACATTTGGCTTCTGGGCCACTTTGCAGTTTATGCTGGAGACACTTTTCAGTGGACGTCAGACGGAGCAACTTTTTCGTCCAGGTGAGACTTTTCCCACCAATATGGCGCTTGCTCGATCTATACTTTTCCCTGGAATGGCTCCAGTGAACCCGAGCTACACGCCGCCAGAACTTTTGGTTTTGGCGCAGAGTCGGGTGCAGTTTGTGTACAATGTTCCTCCAGGCGCAACTTTACCTGGATCACCGTCGTCGTGGGCACCCTTCATGTTTTGGGTTACTTTACCGTTGTCGACTTTCCAACGGTGCATGACGACAGCCCAGCAGTCGGGTACTTTTGTGCTGAACTTTGCAGATGTGGTTGGAACTTTGGATGGTTCCCTGAACCTTTCCTTTAGTCCCCGCAGTGCACTTTTGTTTTATACGTTCCAACTGCCGATATCCGAGAGGCAAGGAAGAACTTTTGAATTTTCGGCAGATGAGATGGTAGCCACTTTTGGCTTTCGAGTCACTCAACAATGGCTTGCGATTTACTTTGGTACCGGACGTGCTAGAATTTGGAATCGCAGGTACTGCGACTTTCTGGTGAAGACCTCCAGCCTGCAAGTGCCTTTGGAACCTTCTTGGGCAACTTTCTGCATGGTCTATCACTTTGCACATCCGTACACTTTGGTGCACGATTTAAACCAGTACCTGGATGGAAACTTTCGTGGTATACCGTGCCGACATGTAGACTTATGCACTTACCACTTTTGGAGAGAGTTTACAATGAGGCGTACCACATGGAAGAAGGCTGGGTGCCACCTTCTGGAGTTACGCCGACTACTTTGACGCGGCCTGCTCGCCTCTAGGCCACTTTTCGCCCCTTTTGGGGGTTGGGCCTTACTTTGCATCGCTGCACTTTAATGGGCCGATGTGTATCGAGTTGCTGCACTTTGATGTGCCACCTCGCAATCTACTTTTGCGTACCGCCAACTTTTCTGCAACTTTGGATGCTGTATGCGTTCAGCCATTTCTTCAACTTTGAAGGCAACTTTTACGTTGTAGATATGAGACGTTGTTGCTACTTTCTCCAAGCTCGCAGTGCAAAACTTTTGCGTGAGCCTTCCACATGTACACATGTAAAGACGTGTATACTTTACGAGAATAAAGTAAATAACTTTAATCTCGAGGAGGCGTGTGAAAATAACACGTCCTCACCTTCGCCCCGACCTTGCCACTTTGGTGGCTCAAGACACTTTGCTCTCGCAGAGAAAGGCGCATCTGAACTNNACTTCAGGGCTACTTTGGTGTCTCAGTTGAGTGAGCTTGTGCACGGATCTACTTTAGAGTAGTTTGGTGCGCATTCTGTACTGGTGTACTTTCGCACTTTGCAGCAGTAAGTAGGTAGGTCGGTAGGCACTGGTAGGTAGGTGGGTATGTGGTATGTATGCCTGCATGTATGTGTGTACGCATGCAGGTGCACACACATATACGCAGTACATAGACATGGACATTATACCGATGACCATGTGCAGCTAGACTCGACGAGTAGCCTAGCCAGCCAGCTAGGCAGCCAGGCATCTAGGTAGGTAGGTAGGTAGGTAGGTAGGTAGGTAGGTAGGTAGGTAGAGAGATATGTGGCTTGATAGACAGAGAGAAGGAGAGAGAGATCGACAGACATGCGCCGAATTCCTGACTCTGGTGAAGAAGAAATGTGTTAGAGGTGGTACCAACAACGGGCTTCAGACGAAGCTGCTGGCCATCGGTGGAGTGGCATCGCGGTGCTGGTTGTTGGCCAGGTGAGACAGATTTTTTAGCAGCGTGCGGCAATCTCACTTTCACCAGAGTACTTTGTCATGCGTCCGAGCACATTGCGGAGGTTCGAGCTGGCACAGAAGACCGTGTGACCCGCAACATCCACCAGCATGTGTTCCAGGACAGGACACGTGTGATGGCGCCGCAACCCATTCGTGCGAGAGAGATAGGGGGAGAGCACAAATCGGCATCTTCTTATCGCTCTGATCAAACTGACGGGCTGGTGTTGCTAGTGACCGCACCTTCATACAAGTGCACCCAGGGAAACAAACTTGCAACCAATCTTTCAAATTATTTCTCCTTTTCCTGGGATGCATTTGTCTCGTCACGTCCCCCAGGAAGCCCTCTCACAATGGCGAGCCAATCCGCTCGGGGGACTTCGCACGCGCCCCACGCCCCGGAGAACAGAACAGACCACCACAAATCGGCGTGGATGTCTGTCAGTGTAATTGTATGTATGTGTATGTATGTGTGTGTATATATATATATGTGTGTGTGTGTGTGTGAGTGCTTGTGTGTGTGCGTGTGTGTTTGTGTGTGCACCTCCTGTCCGAAATGATGTCGGCTGTGATCACTAAAGTGTGCTGCGAGAGCGGTCTGCAGTTCAGTCACGCCCTCGACAAACCAAGATGATAGGCGCTTCGCCAGTGTTTTGCGAGTTTTCAGCATAAGCCTGGGGGGGCACCGACCCATCATCTACGTCCAACGAAGCTATGAGAGATGCGGTGGAAGCAGGATGGGACGCCATTCTGTGTGCCCGCTAGAAGGCTGCACCTGAATTCCGTGGTGGATAGCTGGTGGGCTTACACACTGCATTAAGAAGCTGAATATGTAACAGTCTAGCACAAACAGAACCCATTCAAGAAAGGATGACTGGTTTTCAAAAGGGTGGGTGTGTGTGTGTGTGTCTGTCAGGTGTGTGGGTGTGTGTGTGTGTGTGTCGCAGGCGATGCCAACATCGCGTCATCACATCTTCGCGGTTCTGGAGTTTACTCAGATGCCAGGTTACATTACTTACATGATGTATGCTGTATCCTCTGCCAGGTGAATGTGCATTCCAGAAGCTGGCCTGCTGTGGGCCGAGGAGTGGCTTCACGTGGCGCGGGCAGAACCACAGCAAACGTCACTACAGCAGAGATTTCACTGACGAGCAGGTTAAGGCTCGCGTTGAGGTCATGCGGCTTCACAGACAATCCTGTAGTGAACCTGCGTAATCAGTGCTTCGTATTGGCAGGAAATGCTGGCCAAGTACGGAGGCACGAGTTGCTTGAACATAATTGGCTGCAGGCCGTTTTGATTTCCACACTCTAACTCACGGGTTGCAAAGGCAGGAGAGTTTATGCTGGGAGTGAGGGCCCCGAAGCTTTGTCAAGGATAAATCATGGATTACAACCTTGGTACTGTCCCAGGGTAAGCCTACAGCTATCCTACGGCAATCCAAAAATTCGGATCAGCATAAGAATAGGATTAGCGTAGGATTAGCGTCGGACAGAAGAGGAAGGACTAATCCTGTGATTATCCTTCAGCTATCCTTGGTTTCTCCATGCTTGCTTCTGATTATCGTAGGATTACTGCCGGATAAACAAACCCCCTCCCCCTCCCCTACCCCCCCTACCCACACTTCATGATTTGAGTCCTTCGCAGGTAACTACACGTTGGCGGAGTGGACACTGGAAGATGTGGAACGAGAGAAGGACGTGTACTCAAGTTGCACCAACCAGGCAAAAGCAGGCTGCCTTCAATCTTCCCAAGAAATCAAACAAGGCAAGAAAAGGTCGGCCACGGCTCAGCGCTTGTCAGATTTGTGAGGCCTGGGCTTGGCCCAGCAGTACCTGAAGTTTGCTCGAGCTTTGGAGCTGATGCGCAAGCATGAAGAAGCAGACGGTCAGCGCTTTTCCCTGGTGCTCAGGAGCGTGCATGGCACAAGGATGAATGCATCTACAGAAGAGGGGTGAGTTGAGACCCTGATGGCCTGGCGGCAGGATTCGACCAGACATTATGTACATTGGCAGCGTGGCGTCGGCTCTGCGATACCGCAGCCAAGCTGGCAGGTCTCCCAGCCTCCTCGCACACTGCAGTGTCGGCATCTGAGGCCTTGAAGAAGCGACAGCTCCAGTGAATTCCACGATCCCCTTCGTGCACGAAGCCGAGTCACAGAGAAAGCTCCGGGTGTGAAGATTTCAGATTTCTCAGTGACAAAGTTGTTCAGGTGCGGTTCAATTGGAGGTGGAGGTGGTGATGCAGTGTTGATGGTGGACAGATCTGCTGCGACTGTCCTGGGCAACGTTTGGCGCTCCCTTCGTGGTTGCCGCCTCGAAAACGTGGATGTTGCTCGATATCAGGGTAGTTGTGCTTAGGTTTCTCCTTGAAGGCAGTGTTGTGGTGACTGGGAATCCATACTGCCTCGAGGACTGCCAGTCTTGGCCAGCAATCTTTGGAGCTTGCCTGGCTCGTCCGAGTCCGAGACACTTGCGCAATCTCGTCCGGGAGCAGTGCGAGCAGCTGGGCGCTTTCAAAGGCGAGCGCGACCCAAGCATCCTCAGATGCCTTAATGAACCCATTATCTGCTGCTTGCAAAAACTTAGGCACGGGTGGGCTCCGGTGTTTCTGCGTCATGGTGTCCCGCTCCCGGGCTTCCACATGGCCGCACTAGGCTAGCAAGTAGAAGCTTACAACGCTCGGTTTTGCATGCGATGTCATAGCATCGATTTGAATGAGGAACTCTGACTGTGGCATCAGCGGAATTATTGCGGAGCCTCCCCGCGGGCCTCCCAACAGGTGAGTTGCACCACCTACAAGATGTGGATACAGCCGGCGGGACATCAACGCCTTGGCCTGATTGGAAGAATGGCGACGAAGGTGGCGACGACAACTTCGCGGACATGAATGCCACGCCGGTTTTTCATCGCAGTGCGATTCCAGTGCCTCGTGCTGAAGATGGCCAGGAACATCTGGAAGGTTGCCCACCAATGCTATTGTAATCTGCAGCAGCCGGTGAGCAGGGGCGGCGGAAAGCCGATCAGACGTGTCTTTCAACGAAACCTTCTGATGGCGCAGAAAGATGCGAAAGGAAAAGCTTTTTTGCTGCCGGATTGTCGATAGCACCACAGCATTCCATTGTGTCCTGGCATCCCTTTCCGTTGAATTCGCTTCTGCTTTTTCAGCCGAAGCTTGTAGCAGTGTTAAGTCGCATCGAGGCTTTCCACTGCACACATGCAAGAGACTCAGCTACAGTACGAAGCAGCCTCGGAAAAGCACTTAGAGATTCACAAGAGAGCCCTCCTACACCAAGAAACGGAGATAGGGCGAAGGTAGGCCTGCTGCCGAAGATGAACGTTTCTGAGGCGCGGTTCAAGAAGGCTACGTACTTCGAATCGCTTGGACATTTAGTGCATCCACCGCAAGCCAAGGCGGTTCGATCACGACGGACCTGCCGGGCCTTCGAGCAGCGGCCTGTGTCCCAAGAAACCATTGAGGAGCTGCTGTCGCGAGCTTCCCGCGCACCGTCTGGCGGCAACACGCAGCCATGGCACATATATGTGCCTTGGTCAAAAAGGCACATTCCCAGTTTGAAAAATGGGCTCCGAAGTGACCAACCTTCCCTTTCATGCACTGACAGCAGTACATCGCTAAATCCGGCCAGCCCCCTTCATATCCATTTGGATGCCTACGCTAACGGCCCTTACGGCAGAGGTCAGCACACCGGCGGGTTGGGATAAATCGCAATACCGGAGATCTGAAGCCTGCACTTGCGTCATCGTGGTTACGGTTGCAAAGCTACTGGTACCATCAAACACAAACGGCCCTTACAGACGGACCACTCCGCCAGAAATAGGAATGACATGGGACGAAGGACAGCAAGGCTAGACAAGCAATAGCTTGCTTCTGGCAGTGCCTTCCGCTTGAGGGCTCATCCGGTCGTTGTGACCCTGGAGGGTAAGCATCCTGAGGGAATCGACGCCTGGTATCCTGAGTTGTTCTGCTGAGTGGTAGTAGTGAGGCACCTTGTACTCCCGGAGCCAAATCCAACAAATAGGCAAAGTCCAGAACAGCAAACCCCCTCATCAGTACTGACTGAAGTCCAAAGCTAGGAACGGTATGCGAATCATGGGCTTCAGGGACGAGCGGGTCTAGACCAGCTAGCAAGTTCTTTGATAGAGGGGACGGTGTTTACCTTGACTCGCTGCGGGTATTTCAATTCAATGAGACCTCGCACACATGCCTCGCTTGGATTGTCCGAGTGTCAGCGCCGAAACCCTTCCCTCAGAAATCATCTTAATGAGCAGTGCAGAATGCTGATCAACAGCTTGACGACTCCTCAATCCAACACACCAACTGCCCGGTCCCTGACCAGGACTGGCCCCTAGACTCGTCACTAGCCTCGACACAGACAGTGGGGGAGTCCGGTCAGTATGATGTCCAAACACATGCTGACCGCTCTTCCCAGCCAAGGGTCAGCTTTTTCGGACTTGAGCGTCACGCGTGTAGGCACCCACAGAACCTGCGGAAGCTAAAGCCAGACACAAGATCCTCCAACCTTGCTGGCCGCACCCTGCATGCTTTATCGATCTGTACCCGAGGAGTATCGGCAGCACATGAGACAATAGGTGTCAAGGGCTGCGGTATTGTAGCCTTGTTCGGATGTCCGAGTTTTGGATAGTGGTTCCAACATGTTCCAATGTGAGCCGGTTCGCAGTAGATCATGTGTATCCAGGATGTTCCTAAAGCTACCGCAATGCAGCCACAGCTAAACGTCTCTGAGAGGGTTTGCATGCCACAGGTTGTGGCTGGCTCGAAGCTGCGCGCCTTGACAGATGCGGCTTTGGCACACCTGCAGGGTGCTGGCAAGCAGCACACCATGCAGGAGGAGTACCATCACTACCCGCGCAAAGCCGAAATGCCTTCCGACATGCATGAGGCCAGGACCGAAAGAGGTACACTTAAGCATTCACCGCTGAGCAACGGACCGCGCCTGCTCAGGCATACATGAGACGGCGCGTGCAGGTGGCCCAGAAGCTGTGGAAGTTGATGGGTGTGGCGAGGGGGGACGCAGCAGGACGCCTTCGAGCACTGCTGGAGAACTATCGCTTCTGGGGCGCTCCTGTGGGCATGATCGTCACTGTGGATCGTTTCTTCATGCAGCAAGAGAACGTGCTGTTCTGAGGCAAAAGTGGGCTGTTAGGTGGTCCTATGCAGGTGTCGACTTTCTGGTCGTTAGTCGATGCTAGAGTGCCCACGCCGTAGATGAGGACGGTCACAGGCCTCGGCACTGAAGATCAAGAATAGTTAGAACACGTGTGAAGGCAGCAGACTGGCCGAGGCTGTTGCGACCGAAATGCTTGGGGACATGCTGGGCTGCTTCTACAAACCATCGCTCTGCTAGCTGTGGAGCAGGGCCTCGCTACCGTGACCCGACGGACGGGTCTTCTAAGCCGAATTTTCCAAGCTCCCTGTTCTGGCCGCCATCCCAAACCAACGCGCAGCACCACCATCACTCGGGCTTTCCAATGGGGCACCAAAGTCCTCAGACAGTGCATAAACTTGTGCCTGGAAGATGGCGGCACCTCTTGATTCATATAGCCACAAACCTCTTCAATGGCATACAAACTGTCAGGCGATGTTGGAAGCCTGGGGAAACCTTGGCAGTTGTGTGTATGATGTGCTCGGCATCTCCTCCGACAGAGAAGTGGTGTGGCGCTGTGCTCAGGTTCAGATCTTGCGCAGCACAGCGTGGCTAGTGGCGGCTAGTGGATGCAGACATGTACCTATGATTACGTTTGAATATACGGTACATATGATTATATACATACATACACCCCTTTTTAGGGCACCACTTACGCATGCCTGCGTTGTTCCAGCCGTAGGTTCATGCAGTGGCAGTGGTGCATAGCAGGAAGTTTGTGTCATGCCACATGAGAGCCAGTCTGTTCAATGGCGCCTCGATCATGCTAAGGTGTGGAGTGGCGCTGGGCTACCCTGACAGCTCTGCGAACTTGAGCAACGTGCCAACAGACCGCCTGGAAGTGCCGGAGTTTTGCAGATTCCAGGGCTTTGCCACTCGCTTCAACTTCAGGACCCTAAGTTCAGACTGCCCGTGGTCAAATCAGCTTTTGACAAAGCCGGGCAGAACTTTCAAAATAGTCTCGACCTGATCTCCACGCCACCTGCCACTGCGCGGGCCATATCGACCCTGCGCACTTCCTTGTTGCTCTTTCCTTTGTGTACGTTCCTTGTGGCTGGAAAAGAAAAAGCATGTCACTTTCGGAGCTACACAATGTTTGAGAAACAGTGGCAACAAGCTGGGAGGTACAGTGAAATGATTGAACATGTCACTCTGTGTTGAGGGGCTGTACATAAGCAATGCAAGTGTTTGATTTTGCTGCCAATATGGGCGCTAGCCGCTAGCCCTGACAACATGCAACAGTTCTATTTTGTAGTATGCCCTAGCTGTCCACCTGAGCCAAATCGCAAATCGGCGGGGCATGGCGGGGCATATCGGAGAGTGAAGCCTGGATGTGAAAGCAGAGCACGAAAACCTTCTGTCACTCATCGTTGTGCAGTTGCAGCTGAGGTCACCAGCGCCAAACTGTGAGGTTCTGGCATGGAAAATGTCATTCGTGTGGAGCATCGGGCCAATCAGCCGCCCTATGACAACCTGCAAGACCTTCCGTCGTGAAGTGTGCACAGTCGCACGAAGACGCGTGCCTTCCTGAACACAGGCTTCAAGCAGTAGAGCAAACAGTCAGGTGCCTGACTTGCCATGTGCGAATCGCAACCAGCAAGTCAACCATGAGCGAGCAAGACCGCAGACCGACACTCCCTCGCTGACTCTGTGCATGGGGCCATGGCACATGAGCCGCCGGAAGAGGCACGCACTTCCGCATCTTTAACATGTTTTCGAGGCGACACCACGCGCCGCCAAGGTGGTCGAGTTTGTTCTCGATGCGCGCTATGGAGAACAAGTGGCCGTCCAAGAAGCGATTGCAGCCGGTGTGCAGGCAAGGAAGCGGGACAGTCCGCTTTTTGCCAGTCGGGTTGTTCGTTGGTGTTTGTGTGTGTGTACATACACACACGCACACACACACACACACATATATATATATATGTGCATGTATCTATAATATAAGTACATAAATAAATAAATATGTATATATATATATACATATGTACATACAGTTGCATACATACATACATACATACATGCATGCATGCATGCCTACACACACACACACACACGCACACACAAAAATATATACGTGTTTGCCGCTGCATGCATTGGGTTTTCGCACTGAAGCTGCACTGTTGGAGGGCTCGAAATGAGCCTGCTGTGTGCCGCCATCAACCTCGCCTGACCTCGTCGAGCGCGCCTGCCAAAAAAAAAAGAAAGAAATATATATATATATATGCATACACACATGTGTATATGACCATATATATATATATACACACATACATGCATGCATGCATGTATGCATGCATGCATGTATGCATGCATGTATGTACGTATGTATGCGTGTGTATGTATGTATGTATGTATGTATGTATGTATGTATATATATATATAGATATAGATAGCAGACCCTTCTCCGTTGGTTTCCGGGCCCCGCCCACACCTGTCTCCCCTTGACCCTTCCCCCACTCCCTCCACCCCACCAAACCCTGCGTCCTTGCCCCGCCCCCCGCGACCAGAGGGCAGGGGCAGGGGCAGGAGCAGGGGCAGGAGCAAGGGAGTTAAACGGAGGCGTGGCATACCTGCGGCTCAATGCAACGCTCACAGCTCCGCGCTGCTGGCCTTCCGCGCCTGACTACTTCGATGTCGGGTGGGGCGGTGGCCAGCGCACACTGCGTACGGCCCACCGCCAGCACCTGAGCGATCTGGTGGGCACCAGCTCCGGAACGATGGCCAAGGCCTGGTTGGTCAACAGTGGCGGCTTGCCAGCAGACGTGAAGCATGTCTTCGCCACAGCTGGGAGAATGGATGGATGAGGCAGGCAAGGTGACTAGGGACACGCCCGCTGCAGCACGATGTCATGACAGAGCTGGTGTGCTACCCCGCTGATCCATCGTGGTGCTGGCGGATCACCACCGCAGCGAACATCAGCAGGGAGGTGGAGGAGGTCCTGCGGAGGCTCAGCGCCTGAGAGCGCAGCAACATGCACACATGCACAGCACAGCAAAACCTCGCAAGCTGGCGCTGCGCGTGCAGGCACGCACTGTATGCTGCAATGCCTCATGCCCGCACGCAGCGCGCAGCTCAGCTTGCGCGGCAGGCATGCGCTTGCCAGCTGGGCGCGACCCTGTCGTTGCACTGCAGCTTCCTGTTTCAATTGCATTGTGCGTGTGCCCCCCACTCCCCAGACCCACCGATGGTGGATCATGGGAGCATGCATGCGTACATATATACATACATATATATATATACACACACACACACACACATATATATATATATATGTATATACATATAGCACCTTGTTGGACATTTGCAGTGGTCGCCAGCCGTTGGGGCCATCGCACATGTTGATGCAGTGAAGAACGCTTCACCCGCGTGCATTGAAGTGTCATGGGAGTCAGGCTAAGCCCCAAACCAGGCAAGCCGAACCAGTGAAGAGAATAAGGCACTTGAGGCCCATTCGAGGTTTAAGGCACCGTTATTCGATGTTGTTCGATATCTTTGTGTTGATTGTTGATTTGGCTGCGGATGCATGCGCTAGTGTGCGTTTACGTGTGTAGGGTCGAAATGATGTTTTGACAAAGATCCTTGCCGAGATCCAGTCTCTGAAGATACAAATGCACCAAGAGGCCTAGAGGGGGCACTTGGAGACGCGGAAGCGCTGGCGAAATCAATTGGCCCGTCAAGCAGAGCGATGGGTCTGCTTCACTTGTTTTTCACCTGTTGAGGTGAATGCTCGTAGTCACGGCGGGTCAACTGCGCTTTTTATGGCGAGTGCAAACGGGCACACGGGCATCGTGCGTGCCTTGGCCTTATAGAAGCCTTATAGTTAATTATAGTTGTTGGTGGAGGCAAAGTGTTTCAAGGACTGGGTCCCGTGCTGATTGCATGCTGAACTGCTAGCACGTTCCTCTAACGCTACGCAGTCTGTCCCCCAGATGCCGCGTCTCGGCCGAGGCGAGCTGCTGCAGGCGCGTGCATCGGCAGACTTTGCGAACGATGCTGGCAACTGTCCCTTGCACTGGGCGTCGGCCTGAGTGCCGACCAGCGGTGGTAGCGCAGAGCAGCAGAATTTCGTACATTCATGCGTACGGTTACAGTATAGCTGCATGGCAGGCGGCACTCAATGGGCATTTGGAGGTTGTGAAGATACTTATAGCAGCTCGCGCCGACGCCAACCTGAAGAATGAGTTTCAGAAAAGGTGCCGGTCAAGTGGTTGATCGACAGCGAGGAGCATGTTCCCTGGTCAACACAGGCCTTTCGATGAAGCCTTCAGCAGGAGCCGCTTATGATGTCATGCTCCGATGAACCTCGCCGCGCACATGTTCTCGAGGAGCCATGCCGAGATTTGTGAGGCGCTCGCGACCGTCACATCCTTCGAAGACGACGTGCCTGCAGATGCAGAGATGAGGGCCGGCGGGCTTACTGTGTGCATGGTTGAACGCGAGTATCTGAGAGTGGTTTGACCCTTTTCGATGGACAGGAGGCGGAAGATGCAGATGCGAGCGAAACAAGCCGTGACAGACCTCCAAAGAATCAGCCGGAGGCGGCTTGATGTTCAGAGGGCACAAGAAATCCGACTGTGACCCGGGCTAGGAACACCCTGCCATTCTGGGTATGGGCAATCCGCTCCTGGATATATTGGCAGTGGTGCCAGAGGACGGTTTGCCGAAGATGGCACCTGTCTCGGTTCCCAGCGTAGCATGAAGAGGCAACGATGTAGAGTGCTTGCCAGGAGATGTTTGTCAGATACGACCTTGTTCGTGGCAGTGCTATTCTGGCAGAGATGAAGCATGACCAGCTCTTTGAGGAGCTCGCTTCCTTGGCAAATGTGCCCGTGCAAGAAGTCATCCCGTGGACTGGTGCCTGTGGCATAGGAGGCATGCTTGCACATAAAATGAAGGTACAATTCCTCGCTGGCGGTGCAACCCTGAATTCCATTCGTGTGGCACAGTGGCTGCTGCAGGCCTCCTTCCCAGACGTTAATCCGTTGCTAGCAGATGGCACCATGTGAGAGCCCGAGAGCGAGGAGCCGGGCATGACTGCTTACATGGGATGTATTGGGGCCGATGATTTCGGCACGCGGCTGGCAAACGAGTGCAAGTCGGCAGGCATCGCTGCAAGGCCTACTACAGTCACTAAAGTCTACGACAAGTCTACAAGTCTAGCTGTTTCTCGATTTGCTCATTGCTGTGATTCCGAGAGGTTCCTAGTCGACAAAGATGCCCCCACGGGCACCTGTGCAGTCACAATCTTGGATGCGGAGCGTTCCCTCACGACTCGGCTCGGTGCGGCCAGCAAGTACAAGCTCGACCATGTAAAGGATCCGGAGACACTCAACGAATTTGGTGCCCCTTCCCCCTGCCAACCTGATAGCAACATGGTTAGTGTCGAAACATCACGTTTGAGTTGCATTGCAAGGCATTCCATGGACCAGCGCACATGTGCACCACATGTAAGTGCAAATAAGCAGCTGCGGTCATATTCAGAGACGGATCTTTGCAAAGGAACTTCGCCGTGCTCAAGTCTGCACGAATCGCTTCTTGGTTGAAAGCTCCGGGTCAGCCATGAAGCGTGTCAGCAGCGTAATCGTCAGCATCTGCTCCCCCTTTTGCATGGCAAGTGGCTCTGACGCCAAGATCTATAGCGCCGGCTTCTTCATCACAGTGTCTCCTGAGACCATCGACCTTGCATCACGAGTCAATCGGCTGACACGTTTCCGAGCTAGGACTCGCGTGTATTTCGACCGCACAGGTAGTGTATGCATGGAGCTTATGTCGTTCCCGACGCTTCCAATCGTGTAAGGTCGCCGAAATGTCTGGTTCAATCTATTGCCTCAACTTGTCTGCAGCATTCATCGTTCAAGTCCCAGCCTATCGGGCTGTGCTGGAAAAATCGTTGCCGCACTGCGACATTCTCTTTGGCAACGAGACAGTGTCTAGGCTGATGCGTGGAACAGTGACAGAGAGCTTGGACGCAATCAATTGAGAGCCGGTGTACCCAGGAGGCACAAGCGTATGCAGAAGCAGCCGGTTGGGACTCCACGGATGTGGCTTTCATAGCCACCAGACTGTCCTCTGCTCTGCAATGGCTCAGACAAAGCCATTTCCTCGAATCACGACTTCGCATGCAAACAGAGCAGGTCTTTGGTGCCAATGAGTGGAAAGAAGCCGCATCGCAAGGTTGTGATCACACAAGGCGTCTCGTCTTTCATGCTTGGGATTTGCTTTGTTTCGTCTTCCGTGCACTGTTACGAAGAGTCTGTTCGTCTTCAGTTTATGGGAATACTTTCATGCCACGGCTGCTGCAATTGCTAGAAAGATTGGCACGTCGGAGCCGAGCCTGTCAAGTAACCGTCTTCTTAGAGAGAGATGCTGCTCTGGGCAAGGGTCGCCGCGAACGTACATGTAACACGCGG